GAAGGAAGGAAGGAAGGAAGGAAGGAAGGAAGGAAGGAAGGAAGGAAAAGGCTTATCAGAATAACTACCAATACTTGACCTTGCAAATAGATTTTGTGAAAGGAAGTTGAGTGGTCAAGTTTTGTCTCCTGTCCTTTAATATTGTTCCAGGCGGTGTGCCTCTCCCCCCTTCTGCCCCGCATCTGACCCATGCTACCCCTCCCTGCCCTCTTCCATCCCGCCTCTCCGCTGGAGGCCGAGCCACCTGCGTCTGAAGCCCCGATGCCCAGTTTGGCGGCAGCAGCAGCGCAAACTGACCCTGTAGCCTTCCAGCAAAGGAACAACTTTTCTTGAAAGCGCTTGTGGGGAGGGAAACTCGAACAGGGCTGGATCTTCATTTCATTTTTTTTACAAAGTCTCCTTCTGGAGCCGCTTAGGAGTTGAAGGAGACAAGGGCCGAATCGCCGAGCGCAACAATGTCCTCAGAGCAAAGACCAGGCCAGGGAGCAGAGGAGGAGAAGGGGCAAGGCTGGGTTGGAGCAAGGCAAGAGCAGCTGGCAACCCCTTTGGTGGGAGCTCGGCATGGCAGCCCAGAGGCCCCTTCCTGGCTTGGCAACCAGGAGAGCGAAAAAGCCTCTCTCAGACCTGGACCGTTTCTAGAAGAGGTTCCACCCATAAGAGGACCATGGCTTGGAATTATCAGTGGGAAAAAGAGAAGCAAAGGAGGGAAGGGTGGCCTGCTTTAAAATGTAACCTTTTCCAAGTCATGTCTAGGATTATATCTCCTTCCTTCCCTCCCTCTTTCCTTTCCTTTCCTTTCTTCCTTCTGTCTCCTTCTTTCCTTGCTTGTCTCTTTCCTTTCCTTCTTCTTTTTCCTTTCCTTTCCCTTTCTTTTCTTTTTCTCCTTTCTTCCTCTCCCTTTCATTTCCTTTCACTTTCTTTTTCACCTTTCTTCCTTTTCTTTTCCTTTCCCTCTTTCGTTTTTCTCTTTCGCCTTTCTTCCTCTCCCTTTCATTTCCTTTCACTCTTTTTTCCCCTTTCTTCCTCCCTTTCATTTCCTTTGACTCTTTCTTTTCTTTTTCACCTTTCTTCCTCTTCCTTTTGTTTTTCTTTCTCCTTTCTTCCTCTTCCTCTCTTTCCTTTTTCTCTTTCTCCTTTCGTCCTCCTCTCCTTCTCTTTTCTCCTTCCTTCTGTCCACTCTAGGTAGATGTTATCCCTTCCTTGGGTGCTCCCCATCCAGCCCTCCAGAAGCGTGGCTTTTTATGGGCTCCCCTTTCCGAGCCTCCAAGCAGAGGCAAAGATATTTGCAACCCACAGGAGATTAAATCCTAAAATTTAATTTAATTTCAGGAAGCCCTAAAAACATGGCTTTGTCAGCAGGCCTAAGGACCACAGATGGAAATAGGAACCAGTCAAGTGGTTATAATTTCATTGTACTGTTACTGCCACGGGGTTTGGAGTAAGGTTTGCACCCCCTTCACCTTTTGAACAGTTTTATGGTGTGATGGGATTTAAAAACATTTTTACATGTTGTAAGCCAGCCAGAGTCACCTGTATGAGAGCTGGATGGCTACAGAGTATAAATTTGTTTAATAAGTAAATAATAAAATATATGGTGATTGTGCTAGAATGGTGGGGCTGAAAAAGCCAGACAGGGAAGGAAAAATGAGCATTTGGGGTGAAGAAAACAGCAGCTGGAATTTTAACAGGTTTTTTTTTCCGTGTCTGCTGATTGGCGAAAGTTTAAAATAAATCAGCACGGTGTGTGTGTGTGTGTGTGTTTTCTCTTTCCAATCAATTCAGATGTTCATTTAAAAAAAAATCCTCACTGGTAGCCAAGAGATGAGGGGAAATATATATATATAGGCTGCCCCAAATTTAAATCTGAAACCACTGTAAAAGTCTGACCCACAGACGGACACAATACAGAAGCCTGATGATGGCAGATGAGATTCTGCTGAAACGTTGCTACAACTTTAAAAGCACCACTACTATGACATGGGAAAATACCCGAACCAAGCCGAACACCATACATGTAAGTACCCGCGAAAACTTAAGAAAATATATATATATATATATCGAGCTTACAGATTCATGTCTAAAGATATTCTACCCAAAGTGAACATCATACCCTCTTTATCCTAATTTATAAACACAAACGTACTATATTTTTACTCGCTTTGGCAGCTGGGAGAGAGGGAGAGGTTTTCAGTTGGGATTTCTTCACCCCCCTCTCCCCCCTCCTTTCCTTCCTTCCCTCCTTCTCCCTCACCCCTCTCTCCCTTCCCTGCCCCAAATAAATTAATCCTTACACTGGTGGTTGGAGATTATGGACTGTATAATACAGCGGTGCCTTATCAGACTTCATCAGCCAAGATGGAATTCACATCCCGCCAAAAAATAAAATAAATATATATATATATATATACACGCTGCTAGCTATCAACAGCTTTCATATTTTATCACACTGATAAGGATATCGCAAATTCTCTGAAGCATTTCAAAACACTTAAATGCAAAGATAGAGAGAGAGAAACACAACTAAAAGGCTTTTTATATGGCTTGTTGTGGGTGATTATATGTTATTTATAAAAAATAAAAAAAAACCAAAGAAAGATTTGACATTTCCAGTGGTGGGAGAGGGGGAGAAGGGGAAAAAAAGATTTGAGCGTTTAATGGGATTTTCCCCAACCTCTCTCTCCAGCCAATGTTTTCAATCACTTTGAAAATCATTAATATTTACTCTGCTGGCAAGTGGGAAGCTAGACAGAAGAAAAAGGAGAGGAACAAGGGGAAATAATTTCCTAATGTTGCTCAGATTTCTCCTGGAGATGCTACTCGGTCCTGCTCTTTGGGCTTCTTATTTCTTAGCATGCTCCATCCAACGTCAACAGACCCCAAATTTAGAACCGTGGTGACTAACAGCTGCATGTCACTCTACTACTCTGGCACTGAGGATGTTACCTAGTTGGGTAATGAAACGTCTACAAGAACACAAGGAAGCTCAGAGAGGACCAAGCATCTCATAGTTCTCCTCCTTCACCACCACCATCACCTCTTCCTCCTCCTCTGCTCCACAAACCCCACTTCCTTTTAGCACTGATGATGTTGCCTAGTTGGGTAATGAAACCTCTGCAAGAAAGCAGTTGAGCTCAGAAAGCACCAAGGATCCCTCATTTCAACCCTAACCTACAAATATTCTCCTGAAGTATGACTCACAGCTGTAATTCCAGTTTCAGTTATAATCGTGAGTTGAGAGCTACCTGTGTAACAAGATACAGAATCTGTAGAATAAGTGTCCCTTGGGCTTTATACCTCAAACTTGCATCCTCTTCCTCCTCCTAAATTCCCATAATTGAATGGAACAATGTGAATCACAGTTAATAACTTTAATAAACATCCAGAATGGCCACCGCGGAAGGAGGGAGTAGTCCTTATTTGGTGACAACACGTGGAAAGCAGCTGTTGGTTACAGGATGCCACAGTGCGGTGGTTCCTGACAATGTTTTGATGCCTTTTTAGGGCCAAAAGTTGGCTAGAATTGTTACAATCAGGAAACAAGGAAATTGCAACCCATAAAGAAGTGCTTTTTTTTTCAAGAAGTAACTGGACTTTCAGGTTAGTTACAAAGTCCACTTGCCTCTTGGAAAAAAGCACCTTTGGGATAACCAGGACTTGGATGACTGAGAAATAAATAGAATAAGAGTGTTGGAAGGGACCCTGGAGGTCTTCTTGTCAAACTCCCCTTGCAGGAAACCATCTAGCATTTCAGACTCTCCGTAGACAACCCACGAAGAATGACATTCGGACATAAAGGCAAATGTTGGCCGGTGCTTTCTGACATGACCACCTTTTATTTTTAAATCAGCTCGATCGCCATGCTTCGCTACGAAACTATGTGGTCAGGCTTAGTTTTTGGGGAGGAAAATGAGGGAGGGAAAATTCTGCCTCTGACTTCCAGCATCCATCGGTATTCCTCTGGCTAGCGTCCTGTCAGTGTGTGAGAGAGTTGAGGGCTGTTTGGAAACTGAAACAGTATTTGCTGTGTGAGCAAGGAGGAGACAGCAAGGAGCCTGGGCGTGGCTTAGCTCAACTGTCCTGAACTAAAGCTGCTGGGTGCTGTGAAAGTAAAACTGCAACTCCTCTCCTCTGCTTGTGTTTTGCATTTAGAAGAGATTTCTTTCCAGGTGGGGAGGGGGAGTAGAACTCCTTAGCATCAGAGCGTGTTAATAATAATAATAATACAGGAAATGCTCTAAATGCTCTGATGGTCATTTTGAAAAATCCTTTCTTAGTGAGCCCCTAGAAGCTAAGAGGAACATAGGTGCCAAATTTCAAGTTTGTAGACTTTATGGTTCTGGAGATTTTGTGATGATTCCTGAGGGCTATCTTCGCTTTTTATCTCTATAGATTGGAAAAGGAGATTTAAGGGGGGGGAGTATTAATGCCTCTGTGTGTATGTATGTTTGTGTGTGTGTGTGTGTGTTTAAAAACACACCCCAGAAGTCTGTCATGGTCCTGGCATGACGGTAGCTCCTCCAATCCGCCACTCAGCCTCCTCATCTCAGTTTTGCTTATCAATAACAAGGAGAGATAACCTTTCTCTCTCCCCCCACCCAAAGTGACAGCTTTCCCCCCAAAACGGGGGATTCATTACCGCAAGAGCGAAGGACAAGCTGACCTCAGCTGCAGGAAAGAAAAAGAAAGAAAGAAAAAAAAGAAACAGGCCAGAGAAATTTCTCCCGGGAGCTTTCCAAGGCAGGGTGCAACCATCTCGTCCTTTGGTTTCCCATCCTTCTGGTTGCTTTCTGACGGCGCTGTTGAGGTCGCCATCCATGTCCTTCTCTCCATCTCTAGGTTTTGGCCTCAGTCCCCTGCCGGACGATGCTCGTTTCTGACCAGCCCCTTAAGATGAAACTTGGAGGGGTTTAATACCAGATCAAGAGTGGAGAATTAGCTCAGAGTTCCTGCAATGGGCTGGAAATTTCTCATCTTTTCCCCCCCTCCATTCTAACCTTTCTGGTTCAGTTTGATGGGAGGAGAAAGAAGAAGAAGGAGAAGGAGAAGGAGAAGGAGAAGGAGAAGGAGAAGGAGAAGGAGAAGGAGAAGAAGAAGAAGAAGAAGAAGAAGAAGAAGAAGAAGAAGAAGAAG